ACCGAAGGCCCCAGTCCACCGTCCACATGCGCCCCCCCCACTCAGTACAGCGCTTCGTGGCCCCACCCACCGAAGCCCCAGTGCCACCGTCCCGTCCCCCCCACTCAGTACAAGGCCACCGAAGGCCCCACTGCCACCGTCCACATGCGCCCCCCCCACTCAGTACAGCGCTTCGTGGCCCCATAGGGAGCTCCACCGAAGGCCCCAGTGCCACCGTCCACATGCGTCCCCCCCACTCAGTACAGCGCTTCGTGGCCCCATAGGGAGCTCCACCGAAGGCCCCAGTGCCACCGTCCACATGCGCCCCCCCACTCAGTACAGCGTTTCGTGGCCCCATAGGGAGCTCCACCGAAGGCCCCAGTGCCACCGTCCACATGCGTCCCCCCCACTCAGGACAGCGCTTCGTGGCCCCATAGGGAGCTCCACCCCACCGTCCACATGCCCCCCCCACGCAGCAGCGCTTCGTGGCCCCATACACCGAAGGCCCCAGTGCCACCGTCCACATGCGCCCCCCACTCAGTACAGCGCTTCGTGGCCCCATAGGGAGCTCCACCGAAGACCCCAGCGCCACCGTCCACATGCGCCCCCCCCACTCAGTACAGCGTTTCGTGGCCCCATAGGGAGCTGCGCCGAAGGCCCCAGTGCCACCGTCCACATGCGTCCCCCCCACTCAGTACAGCGCTTCGTGGCCCCATAGGGAGCTCCACCGAAGGCCCCAGTGCCACCGTCCACATGCGCCCCCCCCACTCAGTGCAGCGTTTCGTGGCCCCATAGGGACCCCAACGAAGCAGTGCTACCGTCCACATGCGTCCCTTTCACTCAGTACAGCGTTTCGTGGCCACATAGGGAGCTCCACCGAAGCCCCCTTAGTGAGCTCCACCGAAGGCCCCAGTGGGGCCGTCCGCACGCGTCCCGGAAGCCCAATTTGGCATTTTCACCCGCCCAGTACAGCGTTTCGTGGCCCCATAGGGAGTTTCACCGAAGCTTCCAGTGGGACCGTCCGCATGCGCCCCGGAAGCCCAATTTTGCATTTTTACTTTCCCAGTACAGCGTATCGTGGCCCCATAGGGAGCTCCACCGAAGGCCCCAGTGCCACCGTCCGCATGCGTCCTGGAAACCTTACTTGACACACCACTCACCCAGAACAGCGTTCCCCCCCACCCAGTGCAGCGCTTCGTGGCTCCATAGGGAGTTTCACCAAAGAAGATTTTCACATTTGCGGTACCCACAACTGCATATGGTTGGGCCTTTCGCCAGGATAATTGAGAGAGTTTGGCATCTTGGCTCCTGGGGAGGCTCCGTGGCCACCCGGAGCCGTCTTGGAGCGGTCTTGGGGCCTCTTGGAGCATTTTGGGCGCCATAAAGTCATCTCGGGCTCTCTGAGGCCCTCCTAAAGCCATCTTGGGGCATCTTGGACGCTCCAACGACCCGCGACCCCGCCCCTCCAGGTCCAGGGGAGACAGTCATGGGGGAGGGGTCAAGCTACCCACCCGCCCCCAAACCGTCTAGCTCCAACCCGCCCTCCCAACCCATAAGTAACACCTGACCCTGAGCATGTTCAGCGGTCGTCTTTGGATTGGCAGCTACTGGGAACCAAAGCCGACCCCAGGTGCGCGACGCTTGGGCGAGGTGCGCCACGCGTGCCAGGGGCGCCACGCGCGCCAGGCACCCCTGTGGCCCGAGCGAGCCAGGCACGCCTGGTGCGCTAGATGCGCCACGTGCTCCGAGCGCGCCAGGTGTGCCGCACCTCCAGCCGCGCCAGGTGCGCCACTTTCTGGGCACGTGCAGAGTGCGTCAGGTGCGCCTGCGCACGTGGCAGCACACATCGGGAAACATGTCATCCCCCGCCATCCTTGTCGAAAACCAATGCCCATCATTGTGTCGGGTGGGCCTGCGCACAGCAGGCCACGCGCCCCCCCCCCCCCCTCCGTCCCTGTCAAAAAACCATTTGACAGTGCTCGCGGAATGGCCGCGCATGATCCTGATTTAGCCGCGAGGTGCATGTTGTATTGTTCCCAACCATCCTGTGGTGTTGGGTCTTCGTTTTGAAGAGACAGTGAGTGCCCCGCGTTTCTACTCCTCCTCCCGCTGCCCCCTCCCTTCCCTTCTCATCATCATCGTCATCATCATCAGCTTCATAATCGTCATCAGCATCATTCGCAACATCATCATCATCATCATCATCATCATCATCATCATCATCATCATCGTTGTCATCGGCATTGTAATCGTGATAGTCGCCATCATCACCACCATCGTGATTATCACCATCATCGTTATCGTCTTCGCCACACCCTGCAAAACCGTCGTGGCACCATAGGGAGCTCCACCTAAGGTCCCAGTGGCGCAGTTCGCACGGCGGCGCCGCCCCATTTTGGTTCACCCTTCACACGTTTCGTGGCCCCATAGGGAGCTCCACTTCCGGTCCCAAGCGCGCAGTTCGCATGGCGGTGGCGCCCCATCTCGGCACACTTCACACACGTTTCTTGGCCCCATAGGGAGCTCCACCTAAGGTCCCAGTGGCGCAGTCCGCATGGCGGCACCGCCCCATTTTGGCACACGCCTCACACGTTTCGTGGCCCCACCTAAGGTCCCAGTGGCGCAGTCCGCATGGCGGCGCCGCCCCATTTTGGAACACGCCTCACACGTCGCGTGGCCCCATAGGGCACTTAAGGTCCCAGTGGCGCAGTCCGCATGGCGGCGCCGCCCCATTTTGGCACACGCCTCACACGTTTCGTGGTCCCATCGGGAGCTCCACCTCAGGTCCCAGTGGCGCAGTTCGCATGGCGGCGCCGCTCCATTTTGGCACACGCCTTGCACGCTTCGTGGCCCCATAGGGAACGCCACCTCGGGTCCCAGTGGCGCAGTCCGCATGGCGGCGCCGCCCTATTTTGGCACACCCCTCAGACGCTTCGTGGCCCCATCGGGAGCTCCACCTAAAGTCACATTGGCGCAGTCCGCATGGCGGCGCCGCCCCACTTTGGCACACGCCTCACACGTTTCGTCGCACCATACAAGGGGGCTCTACATCAGGCCCCAGTAGCAGCACCCGCATGCCGGCCCCGTCCCATTCCAGCACACTCTTCACACGCTTCGTGGCCCCATAGGGAGCTCCACCGAAGGTCCTAGTGGCGCAGTCTGCATGGCGGCGCCGCCCCATATTGGCACACGCCTCACACGCTTCGTGGCACCATAAAGATAAAGGGGGCTCTACATCAGGCCCCAGTAGCAGCGCCCGCATGTCGACCCCGCCCCATTCCAGCACACTCTTCACACGCTTCGTGGCCCCAGAAGGACATCCACCGAAGGCGATAGTAACAACGACGGTATTCACAACTCCGTATGGTTGGGTCCTTCGCCAGGCTAATTTTTTGGAGGCAGGGATGGTAGCCCTGCGCGCAGCAGGGAATATGCTGACACCCCTGCCGCCCCGGTCAAAAACAATACAAAGCGCGCCTCACGAACATGACTCAAGACTTTGCCCAAAGGTGGAGTTAGCATTGTTTCTCCCAACCATCCTGTGGTGTTAGGTCCTAGTTTCGAAGAGACAGCGCCCCGCGTTCCTTCCTCTGCTCTCCTCCTCCTTCCCCTCCTCCCCCCTCCCACCAACAGTTTCGTGGCCCATAGGGAGCTCCACGGATCGGTACACCCCTCACATTTTTCGTGGCCCCAAAGGGAGCTCCACCGAAGGCCCCAGTGCCACCGTCCACATGCGTCCCCCGCACCATTTCGGCACACCCCTCACACGTTTCGTGGCCCCATAGGGAGGTCCACGGAAGACCCCAGTGCCACCGTCCACATGCGTCCCCCGCATCAATTTCGGCACACCCCTCACACGTTTCGTGGCCCAAGAGGATCCTCCACAGAAGGCCCGAGTGCCACCTTCCAAACGCGTCCCCAACACCCATTTCGACACACCCCTCATACGCTTCGTGGCCTCATAGCGAGCTCCACCGAGGGGCCCAGTGCCACCGTCCACATGCGTCCCCCGCACCCATGTCGGCACACCCCCCACACGTTTCGTGGCCCCATGGGGAGCTCCATCGAGGGCCCCAGTGCCACCGTCCACATGCGTCCCCCGCACCCATTTCGGCACACCCCATCACACGTTTCGTGGCCCCATAGCGAGCTCCACCGAAGGCTCCAGTGCCACCGTCCACACGCGTAACTCGCACCCATTTCGACACACTTCTCACACGTTACGTGGCCGCATAGGGTGCTCCACCGAGGGCCCCAGTGCCACCGTCCACATTTTTCCCCCACACCCATTTCGGCACATCCCTCACACGTTTCGTGGCCATATAGGGTGCTCCACCGAAGGCCCCAGTGCCAACGCCCACATGCGCCCCCCACATCCATTTCGGAGCACACCCCATCACACGCTTCGTGGCCCCATAGGGAGCTCCACCGAAGACCCCAGTGCCACCGTCCACACGCGTCCACCGCACCCATGTCGGCACACCCCATCACACGTTTCGTGACCCCATTGGGAGCTCCACCGAAGGTTCCAGTGCCACCTCCCGCATGCGTCCCCAGCACCCATTCCGGCACCCCCCTCGCACGCTTCGTGGCACCATAGAGAGCTCCACCGAAGGGCCGCGCATGCTCCAAATGTGGAGGCAGAGTGCGGTTTGTATTGTTTTTTGACAGGGATGGTGGGGGGCGGGCCCGCATGGAGTCGGCACGGTTCCGGGTTGGCCGGCGGCCGGGTGGGTGAGGGGGTCTATATTGAGAAGGATCAGTAATAAACTCCGGAAAGAAGGGGGTTGGACGAGAAAGCCCTCTAGACCACCTACGCCCAGAGGGTTGGTGGGAATTTCCTTCGCTCACGCTCGAGTGTCCCCGCGGCGCTGGTTGCGAGAGCTTGCCTTCCCTTCTCCTTCAGTTTAGCTGGCTCCTCGTCCTCGTCCGCCTCTACATTGACGACTTGTCTTCCTTTCCGCCTGCTCTTTCTCATCTGTTTCTCCAACGTCATGTTGCGGCCGTGCGGTTTAACGGAGGTCTTCGAGGCAATGGGGATGCACATTACCCGAGAGAATTTCGAAACGTTCGCCTTGGGGAGGCGAGCGTGAGGATCTGTGGTAATGCTCCGAACGGGATGGAAGACCCTTCTGGGGGAAAGAAAAGGCGGGAGTAAGGAGCGCAGTCACTGTTCGGATTTGTTTTTGCAGCGTGCCTGAGGGAAGCCTGTATGTCGTTTGACGGCCAGTCTGGTGCGTTTGTCTGTTGCGCTACATGTTATTCCGCCTGTGCCCCCAGCACTGCTAGATAGCCGCAGCGTCATCATACAGAAGACACTGAGGGAGTGGAGGAAAAGAACGACGAGGAGGAGGATAAGGGAAACGTGGAGGATAGGGTTGGATAGAGGAAACCGTGGAGGAGAAAGAGAAGGAGGAAGAGGGCAAGGATGGAAAGGAGGCAGAGATGGTGGGGATGCTGTTGAGGTCGCCAGTTGCAGGCCGAGGCGTTTGCGAGGGGGGACGTTGAAGCAGGATGGAGGCAGTGCGCTAGTCAGAGCAAAGAGAGGCGAGACCTAACGGAGCCTGCGTCCGCTTGGAGCCCTGCCAAGCTTGCCCACCCGCCTTGTGGTGAACTTCCTTTTCCCCCCGACCTTGCGCATGGGGTTCCCGTCTAGTACTCCCCTGTGAGGGGCCCTGGAGGGTACCCCCCGAAATCTGCCCCCAGAAGTCGGCCTAAGTTCTGCAGACTCGTTTCTGGGTGGCACAGACGGCCCAAATATGGTTCGCAAGATGGTCCAAGAGGGCCAAGAGTCGCCGACTGATCGGTCCAGACCGTCCAAGATGCCCTCCAGACGGCCCAAGAAGCATCCCAAACGCCCGGGAAGCCTCTGAGAGGCCCCCCAGAAAGCCCTAAGAATCACCATTCACATGTTTCGTTTGTTTTTTAACGTGTTTTGCGTTTCCTTCTTTTCGGCTTCCCGACGCTCCAAGACGGCCCACGAGACATCAAAGGTCGCCCCAAAACGACCGAACAGGTCCCCAAGCAAGCGCCCTGACAGCCCACGAGGCCCAAAAACCGGCCGAAGAGGCCTCCAAGTAGGCCCAAAAAACTTCAGGAATGCCCCCAAGAGGCCCCACAGGAAGCCCCAAGGGGTCTCCAAGAGAGCCCCAGGCTTGTCCAAGAGGGCCCCAAGACGGCTGGAGGCGCCCCCAGCACGGCCCTAACATGGCCCGAAGTCGTTCGACGAAACCCCCGACGACCCCGCAGGGCCCCAAGAGAGCCCTCAAGACAACGCCAACAAGGCCCGAGAGGATCTCACGACAGGCGGGGATAACCCAAGCCGCCCTTCACAGGTTTAAGAGAACCTTATAACCGACCACAGGGCCCAGAATGAAATCTCCGAGGCTCCCCCCTATGCACGAGCGCCCCAACACAGCCGAAGACATTCCCCGAGAGGCGCCGGGACCCTCCCCCATATGACCCCATCAGACCCCGGAGGGCTTCCTCACACACCCAGAAGGCTCCGCAACGCCCACGCTAATCGTACGGACCCCACGACGCAAGCTCAGTCTCCACGAAGTTCTCCAAAAAGTGATCCGAAGACCTTTGCGAAGCTCCCCACATACTCTCCTGACAGGCTTCATGTGCGCCCCCTCCTCGCTCCTGCCGTTCACCTCCTCATCCTCTTGCCTGCCAGCTCCTGCGCCCCTCGTCTTCTCCATCCGCCCTTCGCATCCTGGAGTAGCCCCGCCAAGTCTTGACACGGATACCCAGGGAACCAACATGGGCCGCATTGTTTTCTTCTCCTTTCTTGCCCTTGCCAGTCTCACAAATCATCCCTGTGGATCTGGACCTCTTGACACCCCCAGGACGCCTCACAAGGTCCCCTATCAAGTCACCCCGTCGCTCCTTCTCCTCCCTTTGTGTCTTGCACATCCTTAGGAAACCCCGAACAGGTTCCCAGTGGGGAACTGACAGAACTGGAGTCGCACTGGGCTGCCCTGCTTGCGCTACCCTCCGTGCGTATCCGTTGGCTTCTCGCCAGAGATGCCCGCGTGGGTTCATCGGTCGAGGGAGCCCACGACCGCCCAAGAAGTCGTTATCATACGCTCCCTGCCGCCGTATATACACATCTATTCAATGCGTTGAACAGTGTATTGACTAATCCGCAGCTGTTTGGAATTAGAGAGTAAAAACGCGCGCGACATCATATTCTCTTTTCTCCCTATCCGCTTAACGGACAGTCGAATCTCATACTTTGACGGCTGACGCCGTTCACACTGCCGCCATGGTCTCTCGGGGATCCTCGAGCCCAAGACGTTCCTTGGAACCAATGCTGGGAGTTCAGCTTTCACCGCCAGTACATCCTGATCATATTGGCCCTATTGGGCGTAAGTTGGGTAAAGATGGGTTATCAGCCGAAAGTACCGGTCCAAGGATGACCGACCATGTTGGTCATCTTGGGGCTCATAGGATACTTTTCTCGCAAGAAATGACGAACGCGGGAATTGACCTTGGCTTAACCAAACCAGGCCAGTATGATATTCAGGTCGATGGACCGATGTCCTCGACATCCCGACGCATCCAAGATCAAGAAATGGCAGACGGCATGCCCGTCAACCGCGGAGGACTGGACGCACCCGCGCCCGAAGGTTTCGATGAAGAAGATGAGTGGCATGGCGGCAAAAGCCGCCCCCGGAGAAACCTCTGTCGGACGATGTCGCCCAGGCGCACGTTGTTCACCCCAGTTCGTCGGATGAGCAAGGCATGGTAAGAACTCCTTAAAACAAGAAAGAAGCATTTTCCGTGTCGAGCTCTTCGGAGACGATCGAGACGTCCATGCTCGAAAGGACGCCAGTTGAAGCGACTGCGGGCCATGTCCAAAGTCCGGCCGGGGAGCCCATTTGGGAAGACAGCGAAGACCAAATTGGGGCCCTAGGACCTTTGTCCGGGGGGCTCGCGATGGAATCGCGGCCCGGCAAGACCCCGAGGGAAGACCCGGCCGACATTATGGCGTCGCCTTACGAAAAGCGCCCCAAGATCGAGACAGGTGGGCCAGGCGTCCATGACGTGCCCAGCCCGATACCAGGAGTCCAACGCCGGGGAAGGCAGCTGCTAGAGTCCCCGAGCTCCATCTCCCAGAGATCTAGATCGGGCAAGGGTGGCCCCGGCCACGCCCCGAGGAGCTCCCGACATAGCTCGTCCATATCGCGGTCGTCAACGTCCAGGTGCGTGATCAAGGAACCTCGTGCCACCTGGGGGCCGAACTGCGCGGACGGTCCCGAGGGCTGCTGTCCCGGCCGTGCCCTCGACAATCGACCGCGCAAGAAAATTGCATGCCGGGGCTGCTCATTCCTACGTTCGCTGTGCAACTTGAACTACCTGCGCCTCGATTGCACGCCCCCGAAGTTGCACGCTTGCTTCGCTCTCAAGAACCGCGAAAGGGGGCAGCATCAAGACATGAAACAGCAGCAAAGCGAACAAGAACGCATTTCCGAAATCGTCGCCACGCGAACGATGATGGTTGACATTGAAGCAAATCAGAAGAGGCAGACCGACATGATTGCACAACAAGCTGAATACGACATGCAGGAAATCGTTCAGAGAGAAAGGAAAGATAAATCACTCCTCCATGAGGCTGCGCTTTCGGCGGGCCGCGAGGCTAAGGAACAAGCGAGAATTGAGCGGGCTGTAGCTGAACAGGCGCGTCAAGCCCTTCGGGGAGCTCAAGGCAGGGAAGCCCGGCTCGAGAGCGGTATTCGTCTGAAGCTACGGGAAGCCACTGCGCCCCATGAACGAACGGTTTCTTGGGCGGAACAAGTCGCCGCGAGGTCGATCGTCGAGAAGCGCCACTTGGACGAGAAGGCCTTTGATGCCCAACGCGTGGCCTTGTTGTTTCTGCGAGCTGCGCAGACGAAGCAGCAACAATTGGAGGCCGAGGCCCGCGTGTCGCAAGTTGGAGCTGCGAAGATACACGCTGAACTCATGCACGCCTCGGGAACCGCATCAGCAATCCCGGGGGGGGAGGGGGGGCAGTGGGGGAGCGAAAGCGTTGCATCGGGCTAGGGCCAAGGCGCTCGCTGAACATGCATTGGCCTCCCGCCGGGCGGCCGAGCTGAGGTCCATGCACCAACGTGCCCAGGAGACCGTAGAGACGTCTCGAGCTGGCCATGCCAGCGCGAGAAACGAAGCAGGAGAAGCAATTCGAGCCACGCGGAACACCGAGACACAAGCCCAGCTGGAAGTGGAAGCGGCAAAGCACCATTTCCAGAAGGAAGCTGTCTCGACCGCGCACGAATGGGAGGCTCAACGCGAGATGAGTTGCCGACAGCAGGCGCGGCAGCTGGTGCCAGATGGCCTGCAGGGCGCGGCAAGCACGGTCAGAAGGGCAGCTTCGGCAACCGCCATGCGGGTCCGAACTTCGGGGGGGGGGCCCCAAGTCAGCGGGGGGGCTCCCGACCCAGACCGGCCCTGACTGATGTGGGCCGACGCTTCATCTGCGACGCTTCCAACGCGCCGCACATATGTGAGAGGTGCGAAATGCCATTCTGTGAATTGCATGTCGACTGGGCAATGAAGCGCCGCCGCCAGTGCGAACGAGATAGGGCGCGCGATCACGAAGAAGCGCCGAGGAAGCAGCGCGAAGAAGAATAATAATCCCAGATGATGAGAAGGATGCAGGGGGAGGAAGAGCACGCTCGGACGAGAGACGAGATCGGGGCCCAGGCAGAAGCCAGGGCTTTCTGTCGCATCCGGGAACTTGAAGAAACGGCAGAGCTCCGCATGGTGAAGCTGGAGGAGAATGCACGGACTCAAGCCAACGAGATGCGAGACAAGGCAGAGGCGCCGATGAAACAATCGGATCTTAGCGCGAAAAAGGCCGAACAAGATCATCGCGAGCACCGGGAATTGGCTCCGGGTGAGGCGCAGGCAATGAAGGAGGAACAGAAGAGGAAGAAAAGGGAGGAGCCTGCGATGAACCCCTTTCCAGGGTACACACCGCCTGCCCAGCCGAGAAAAACGACGGCCCGCGCCGGTGATCTGGCAGGGGGCGATGACAAACCACTCCACCAGGGCTATGCCGAA